TTGTTAAAAAAATTTTGGTTTTTCCCTTTTTTTTTTTTTTTTTTTAGGAAAAAAGAATTTCTATATGCGTATGTCACATCAACTAAAACCCCATTTTATAATGTGTAGGTGCAATGAAAGAGGAAGATGGAAATTATGGTTGAACAAACGAATAGCAAAATTGCTCTGGGCCTCAGAAGCGAAAAGATTTTCTAAAGCTGTGTCACTAAGGGGTTAATTTAGTAATGTGCCTTTTTAACCCCTTCGTGACTGACGACGTACGGTATACGTCACCAGCATCGGGACTGCCGCCGGGATTCTGTTTAAACTTGCAAAGCCGACTGTCGGCTTTACAACAGAAGCGATTCTGGCGACTTACCTGTCGCCAGATCGCTTATGTGTCCCGAAAAGGGGCCACCCCCCCGCTGTTCTTCCCGGGCTCCGTTGCCCCTCCTACGGGCCCGGGACTGGCTTCCTTGGTGTCCGCGGGGAGCTGGGAAAGAGATCGACAAACTTCCGTTCATCGATCCCCTCCCCGTTCTATGGGAGCGATGCAGATTGCATCACTTCCGGTCCCTGGGCTGTCAGTTCTGGGCTCCTGCAGCCCAGCTATAAGCTATTGAAGTGCGATCTGCACTCCAATAGCTTATTTCTAGTGTATAGGTGACACTGGTGGTCTTTTGGACCCCCAGCATCACCTTAAAGAGTACCTGTCACCACCATCTGCTATCACATGGGGGGGCTTGTAAGCCCCCCTATGTGATAGCAGTCAAAGTACAGTAAAAAAAACAAAACAGTTTTTAAAATTAAATTAAAATGAAATAAAATAAATCTAATAATAATAATAAAAAAAATTTAAAGTCCCCCGCGAGCACGCGTGTTGCCACGTAAACACGCGTCGGGTGCGCCTACGTATGAAAACGACGAACGCGCTACACATGTTGGGTATCGCCGCGCACGCCGGAGTAAGAGCAATAATTCTAGGGCCAGTATTTTGGGGTATCTCTAAATTGATGACCTGTGGGGGCTTTTAAAGCGTCTTCTATGGACTTTTTGGGGTACTGCAGTTTTTCGCCGTTTCACGGACACACCCAATTTGTAAACTGGCCATGTTGGGTATCGTTTTGTAACCTCATCTTTTATATTTCATTAAAAAATTGGTATTTTGTTGTGTTTTGGGGCATTTAATTAAATTTGTCACAAAATTTTGGGGTTTAATAAGGAGTTGCGCTAATATTGCGCAACATATAAATTTGCAACTACCACCATTATATTGTATAGGGTCTTGGCATTCAGAAAATATAATATAAAATAAAATGTATAATGTTTATAGTCCTAAAATGTGGAATATAACATGGGTGCAAAAAATGAAAAAAGGGCCTCAGTCATGAAGGGGTTAATGAACGATAGAAGAATAGATAATTTTGTTGCACAGTGTCGACATCATCAATGATCATTAATTTGGACATGTATGGCATAGCACTCCTGTAACACTGCAGTAACCTTTGCTGTTTCAAAAACAATTGTATCTATTATAAGTCTTATTGTTTAATAAGACTTATTTGTTTTAATCAGAGCCAAAACCTTAAAGGAGAACTATGAGGTGAGTGCTTTTCACTCACCTCATAGTTCTAGCCGACCCATGACAATGAGACTGTCACAGGTCGGCTCAGTAGATCGGGAGGTGAGTGAACATATACCGGCGTTCGCTCACCTCTCGATCCTGTCACAGCTCTCTGCCGTGACAGGGGAGGGGCTGGATTCCCCCCTCCCCGCTCCGATCCGCCAGCGCTGACTGGCGGCTTGGACGGAGGAGGGGGCGGTTACAGCTGGCTCTGCCTCTAGATAGGCAGAGCCAGCTGTCACTCACGCAGCTGGGCGGATGCAGACATAATTGTCGGGATCCGCTTCAGCTGTGGCGTCTCAGTATGCCGCGAGCTGTAGCTTGCGGTATAGTGAGCTTAGGGTGACGGGAGGACGCTAGTTCGTGTCCTCCCGTTACCCTAAGGAGAACAATGGGGAAAAGCCTTAACCCCATAGTTCTCCTTTTAAGGCCTCGAATTACCCCTGACAATCAGTTACATTTGCCATCTATTATATTAAAAGTTAATATCCACTAATCTAACAAGCGTGAGCAAATAGAAGTAATAGTAAAAGGAGACTTTTCTTTAAATGGGTCCGTTTATATTAACCTCCCAACAAATACACAGGGACCTGTTTTGACCTGCCAATAGATATGTATTTCCAAGATTTGCACAGCCGGGTGGATGACACCACTTTATGGCAGTTGAGCAATACAGTGGTATGCTTTCTCCACCCTCCATCCTGCTTACTGAACATTGAAAGAGTATCAGTAGAGTTATAAGGTCATCTCATGCTCTCAGCATATTTGCATGCAGATCACCTGATGTGCTGCCCCATCCTCTTCTAAACTGAGGTGCACACACTAGTTGAGTTAAAATAATCCATTGAATGATTTTTTAAAAGACTACAGAGGTCTGTTATATTACTTTAAACCTGTGATGATATTGCTCTGTGAAAATAGTTGTCAAAGAGCAAATTGCATTTAGATAAGACTTTCTTCAAATCAGCAGCACTGTGTTGGGGAGATTAATTGAAAAGGTTACAGATACAATTTATTGCTGCTGATTTTGTTGGCCCCATAATATTGAGCCTTAGGAATCCAGTTAAGTAGGGATGCATTGTTAACGGGTATTTGGGCGAATACTCGTTCTTGCCCAAATGCTCCCGATGCCTATCCTGATACTGGAACTTCCGGTATCAGCAAGCCGGGTGTCGAGTCATTACACTTCACCAGGGAGCATGGAGCTGGCTTCCTCATCACTGAGTGGCAAATCGGGAAGCCGGGCGGCGACTCATTACCAGCCCCTTTGCTTCCTGTTTGACCAGAAAGCCGGCTTCATGCTTCCTTATCACCCGGTGATGAGGTAGCCTGGATGCGGCTTCCCAGCCAATCGGGAAGCTGGGCGCCTTTTTAATGCTCAGCTTACTAATTGGACTGGAAGATGGCGAGTCATTAGCTGCCCCCCGACTTCCTGATTGGCCAGAAAGCCATGTTTCATGCTTCACAAACAATGGGGAAAAGCCTTAACCCCATAGTTCTCCTTTTAAGGCCTCGAATTACCCCTGACAATCAGTTACATTTGCCATCTATTATATTAAAAGTTAATATCCACTAATCTAACAAGCGTGAGCAAATAGAAGTAATAGTAAAAGGAGACTTTTCTTTAAATGGGTCCGTTTATATTAACCTCCCAACAAATACACAGGGACCTGTTTTGACCTGCCAATAGATATGTATTTCCAAGATTTGCACAGCCGGGTGGATGACACCACTTTATGGCAGTTGAGCAATACAGTGGTATGCTTTCTCCACCCTCCATCCTGCTTACTGAACATTGAAAGAGTATCAGTAGAGTTATAAGGTCATCTCATGCTCTCAGCATATTTGCATGCAGATCACCTGATGTGCTGCCCCATCCTCTTCTAAACTGAGGTGCACACACTAGTTGAGTTAAAATAATCCATTGAATGATTTTTTAAAAGACTACAGAGGTCTGTTATATTACTTTAAACCTGTGATGATATTGCTCTGTGAAAATAGTTGTCAAAGAGCAAATTGCATTTAGATAAGACTTTCTTCAAATCAGCAGCACTGTGTTGGGGAGATTAATTGAAAAGGTTACAGATACAATTTATTGCTGCTGATTTTGTTGGCCCCATAATATTGAGCCTTAGGAATCCAGTTAAGTAGGGATGCATTGTTAACGGGTATTTGGGCGAATACTCGTTCTTGCCCAAATGCTCCCGATGCCTATCCTGATACTGGAACTTCCGGTATCAGCAAGCCGGGTGTCGAGTCATTACACTTCACCAGGGAGCATGGAGCTGGCTTCCTCATCACTGAGTGGCAAATCGGGAAGCCGGGCGGCGACTCATTACCAGCCCCTTTGCTTCCTGTTTGACCAGAAAGCCGGCTTCATGCTTCCTTATCACCCGGTGATGAGGTAGCCTGGATGCGGCTTCCCAGCCAATCGGGAAGCTGGGCGCCTTTTTAATGCTCAGCTTACTAATTGGACTGGAAGATGGCGAGTCATTAGCTGCCCCCCGACTTCCTGATTGGCCAGAAAGCCATGTTTCATGCTTCACCTGGTCGACGAGAGAGCATGGAGACGGCTTCCCAGCTAATTGGAAAGACCAGTGGCAAGTCATTACACACCGCCTGGCTTCCTTAATTAGACGTCCGGTATTGGCAAGTAACAAAAAAAAAATATTGGTAGTCGATACCGAAAAACCGGTATCGGTGCATCCCTACAGTTAGGTAAACAAGGCATCTGGAAAATACATTTTGTGCTTGAAAAAATATACCCACATTAGAAACTATTTGTACAGGTGTACATCATAAAAAATATATATATTATTTTTGTATTTTCAAGGTCATTCCAGTTGGTTCTCAGCTGGCAAACAGCGGCAGTGGGGTGACTTCCTTACAGTGCCTAGAAAGCATGATTGGTGGATTGCGCAGCAAGGTCGTTGAGGTATGTGAAGTTATGAACATTAGAGATCCTTGTTTCATCTAATGTTAATCCTGTACCATAATGGAATGGCTGTTCTGTAATGTAAATGTTTTCCTTCTATTTTCTCGGTTCCAGTAATCTTTGCATAATTGTTGTCCTAGGTCATAATGTATTAACTATTCATATTGATGTACACTGGAATGAGCATTGCCGCCATCTTTAACCGCTTCAGGACCAAGTCCTGTCCTGAAGTGGTTATACCAAGAACACGGCTGCTGCTGCAGCCCTGCTCTTAGTATCATTTTAAACGGCATGTGATTGCTGTTTAAATACAAGCGATCGCTTGTACAGTGCGGCGCTGTTTTCCCTTCTCGGGGCTCCGCTGTACCCCATGTGGGCTCGGGACCGGCATGGTGGATCTCCCCTGACCGGAGGAGAGATCAGCAGGCTTCCAGCCGCTGATCTCTCCTCCGATCACTGGGCCCGGAAGTGATGTGTATTACATCACTTCCGGTGTCACTGTGCACATTCTCCAGCTCATAGAGCCAGGAGAAGAAGCTGGGGAAGCAGATATCTGCCTACTCAGCTTCTTTGGGGTGACCTTAGGGGTCTGAAATACCTCTGATGTCTCCATAAAGAGGACCTGTCACACTATATTTTCTATTGCATAGGGGGCTTCTTAGCAATAGCAATAAAGTTGTGTAAAAAAAGTTACACATATGCACATATAACGTAAATTTGTGTCGGGTGCGCCTACATGCAAAAACGAGATTTGTGCCACATGTTACGTATCGTCGCGAACGTCGGAGTAAGGGCAATAATTTTCGGGCCATCTGGTAGCACTAAACTGATGAGCAGTAAAAGCTCTGAAAGCGTATGGGAAAATTTGGGTATTGTATTTTTCTGTCCCGTTCATTGAAGGACACAGGCAACAGATCGTAGATCCTGAATGGTAGGGTAATATCGCCACCTGCAGGAGAAGGACGCTAGGCACAAAACTAAAGACCAATTACAGCCTAGGGGCGGCCCCTGCCGGTGGCCAAACCCCCCACCTGCTGACAAGTCTCCAGTTTTTTGCCTAGCGTCAGGAGTAAGGAGCTAAAAAATTTTCTCTGGAGAAATTTTTTCCCTTCTTCCGTTTGACTCGATTTCTTCTAGCAAGTGTCCACAGGGCGACATGCTGGAAGACTGTATCGTTCTGAACGACATCCGCGGCCGTCGCCGCTCGCTCGACGGCCGCTAATTGAGGCCCCAGTCTCATTGCGGCCGCCATCTTGGATGAGGGCAACTTTGCCCTTTCTCTTTTGTCACTTCCGCCCGGGCTTCCTTCAGCCTCGGGCGGATGGGGAGTGTTTTCCTTTCGGCCCCGGACGCCTTGACGGAAGGACACACAGTGTGCAGCTCTCCTCTGCTTGTCGGAGTCGGACGGCCGGGACAAGGGCGCTGGGTGTCGTGAGTAGCGGGGTCCCTGTCTCCATCTCCCTTGCCTGGTGGTCTGCAGTCGGTGGGGTGGTTTTGTGCGGGTGTGCAATGATCGCAGGGATGACGCCCCTACATTGCCTTGTGTGGGCTGTGGGCAGCGCTCTGCGGACCCCTCTAGATCCCCTCTTGTGCGTCCTGTACGCCTGCGCTGCTTTGCCAGTCGCCCGTGCGTCCCTCTGATTCTTCAGGGAGGGTGGGTGGTACCGCGGGTACCGCATTGTCCCTGGAGTCCTTTTCCTCTGTCATGGACTGCTTTTGACGCAGCGCCCACCTGGAAAGCTGGCTTTTACCCTTGCCATCCCCTGCCGTGTCAGGGGAGTCTGAAGAGGAGGGGGAACTTCCCGCGACGTCGCCTCATCCTGATCCGGGTGATTCCTCACATCCTGTTTCGGCCAGTGAGGATGAGGCTGCGTCTACGCTCCATGATCCAGGAACGTGAAATGGTCTCCGCGCTGTCAGGGAGACCCTTAAAATTGAGGACGTTGCCACCACGTCCGCGCTGCCGCACGTGCAGTTTGGGACGCATAAGAGTAGGCGTTCTGCCCTTAATCAAGGCCACGGTTATTCCGGTAGAGGATTCTCTGTCCTTTAAGGACCTTTTCGATAGGAAGGCTGAGGCGCTTTTGTGGTCTCTGTCTCGGGCGCGCTCATGCGTCCGGTCTTGGCATCTGCTTTGGTCTCTCAGACTCTGAGTGGTCTAAGATGTTACATCAGGGGCTTTGCGGAGGAGACTGTCTCCCCCGTTTTCGTGGAATTAGCGGACCAGTTGGTGCAAGGCCTTCGCTATGTCTGCAATTCGGCCTTGGATGCGGCACCCTTGGTGTCCAAGGTGTCGGCGGTGATACTTCGCCGTTTGCTCTTGCTTGAATGCTGATGGACGCCTACCTTTGGGGCTGGGGCAGGGTCCTGGGCTCCTTGACCGTGCAGGGTCATTGATCGTCGGTGGTTCCGGGGGAGTGGTCTCTGCACCCGGAGGTTTTTCTGCAGCTGTGTAGTCGCTGGATTTTACGGTGAGTACAAAAATCCTATTTTTTGCGGTTTCACGTACGTACGCAATTTTAAGGCTCGAAATGTTTGGTATCTATTTACCCGGCGCGAGCCCATCTTTTATATTTTACAAAAAAATTGGGTATTCTGTTTTCTGTGCACTAAATTTCATTTTGGTGTATTTTATCCTAAAAATACTGCTTTGATAAACATTTGCGCAAATGCCGTTCAACGTAAAAAATTGCAACTCACATTTTTTTATTATACAGGACCTCTGATTTCAGAAAATATATAATTGGCGGTCTAAAGCTGTTTTGTAGCCAAAAATTCAGATTCTCATTATGAACTCATTATGCTATAGTAAACCTATGTTTTTCTGCTCTTAGATTCACAATCATTTCCCTCACAAGCCTGTCATTTTGCTTGGTTGGAATACAGGAGCTTTAGTTGCATGTCATGTGAGTATTGATTACTTGAGTAATTAATGTGAATATAAAAAAAATTATCTGTAAACTGTATAGGCACTTTCCAGTTATAAATATTTATAGCAGGGACCCTGAGAGCTTTACTCTGTGTAAAATATTCTATAACTATTTTCGATAGTTGTTATTTTTACTCTTCAAAATTAATACGTTTCCTACTGTACTCTTGCACTACTAGGATTTGTTGTATCAAAACAAGCTGAATGTATGGATCAGTGCAACTAGATTTATGAATCAATACGCATTTGTTCGTAATATGTAGTAAAATTGCCTAAACAATCAATATAAATGGTATCTGGTCAGGTAGACCCTCACTTTACACACTTCTTGGTAAATCTTCTTGGCTGGGCTAGCGTGCACTTTAGCTCTTTCCCTCTATTAAACTAAAAGAAATGTTGTAATGAAAGATTTGGAGACTAATAGACTCTATGCCAGGGGTGCCCATAAGGTCGATCGCGATCTACCAGTGATCGCATAGCGATCACTGGTAGATTGTGATGTCCTCTCTTCCTGCCCGTGGGTCTTCTCCTCTGGATCCCCATCTGTATGCAGCGGGGATCCGAGGAGAAGTGAAGGAGCCGCTGCGGCCGGGGCCAAGGATGGATATTTTGAAAGGGAAATATCAGGAGGCTGTTTAGACCCCTAATATTTTCCCAAAGCCCCCCAAGAGTTAAAAAAAAAAAATCAAAATGAAAAAAATTAAATAAGAAATAATAAAAATAAAATAAAACATAGTAAAAAATAAAAACAAATCCTGGAGGCAGATCGCTGGGTGACATCACACGCGTGTTGGGGGGGCAGTTTTTTTCTTGCCTCGGGCGCAAAAGGAGCTGGCTACGGCTATGCTCCTATGGTGCTCGTGCGGCTGCCGGTGAATGTGTCAGACGCAGCAGATGGAAAGGGGCAGGACACTCTCGCCATGTGCAACGTCAGCCACATGAGCACCGCGGGAGGACGGAACACCGGGGCCTCTAGGGTGCACTGGAATGTAAGCTGGCCGATTCCCTGCATTCAGGGGCAGGAAGGGGCGTGGGGTTGTATTGAAGTCAATGGCACCGCAGCCATCCCCCCCCTGCCCACAGTGTGATCGCAGCATTTTTGCAGAACGCACTGGACTGGAGCGCAGGCACTAATGTGCCTGGGTTCCGGGTGCAGGCGATCGCACTGTGGGCGAGGGGCCTGCCTGCGGTGCCATTGAATTCAATGCAGCGCCACACCTCCTCCCGCCCCTGAATGCAGGTGTTTTTTCATTGGTAGATCTCATTGAGCTCGTCATTTGAAAAGTAGATCTCCAGACATATATATGCAATATACTTCTACACCTTTTGTATTCTAAATACAAGCTAGGTATTTAGGACGATGGCAAAGGAATCATAAGGATTGTCTTGAATAGAAATGTTTGCTAGTCTGCTAGGAGCTGTTTTATTAAAGCCCAATCGGACTTTTAATTTAAATTGGCCAAATATATTTCAGAGACATTACAACTAAAGCTGGGCAAAGGCTTAGTTTTTTAACTTTAAAAAACAGCTAAAGTCTAAATAGGAAAGCATACAGTATCTGCATGCTGTAGGGAAGAATCCTTGCTATTTGTATGGAAGCAGTGGTCTCTCATTAGGTAAGGAGCACAAGCTTCCCATTGTCTTTTGTACTGTTGGCATGTTTTCTTTTTTGTTTTCCTGTGTTCCTCTTTATTACCTATAAATATAGGTTTGCTAAAAAGGTATAGTGCCAGATACATTCGTTTTGTTCTCATTTGCTGTTTTAATTGGATAAGTAGACTTTACTGTAATGTCTCGTTTGCCTAGGTGTCTTTATTGGAATATGTCACAGCCGTTGTGTGCCTGGGGTTCCCCTTACTGACTATAGATGGACCTCGAGGGGTAAGTGCTTTTTAATAAAAAATGTTTAGGAACACTCCAGGCAGATATAAAGAAACAAATCAGTGCAGTCCTGTATTCTTTATTATATCCTTAAATGTATTTTATAAATGCAAGCAGTGTAAGTACCTTTTAATTTGACCTGGTATCAGCCTCTTGGTGTCCTTGTACAGCAGAGCTCACACTAGGGGAGGGAGAAAACATGATCTCATTAAAGGTATACATGTAGCTGAGGTGGTTAGGTTTAAGAAAAGTGGAATGGTTTTGTATACCTGTTAGTTGTGACCTGTCAGTCTATTTGTTAAAAAAGGAACCTAGCTCAAACAGTATCACTTTTGCTTGACTTTTCAGCAATCAGCCCAACAATCTTCTTTGTGATTACATTGCTGTGCCATGTGTCTGTAGGGGTTTAGAAATGTGTTGTTTATCTGCCACCAGCACCACATATTGCATGTCACTGCACAGCTTTTGCCAGAAACTTTTTCACAAACCAACACTTTTTTCTGCTTTTTGTGTATCCCCTTCAATATTATTTCAACGCTATGCCCTCTTTACAAGGTCTTTGTTTAAGCTACTCTGTCCCTAAAGAAGTCTTCCTTCCCAAGAATACAGTTGATACTCACCTGTGCCTCTGCCCACACTATGATCTATGTTCCATTAGCCCACTACTCTGTCCTGTAGTGATGCAGAGAGTGGTGTAAAGAGCCACAGATCTCAGTGGTGGGGGGTTATCAGGATTTTAATACTTCCAGAAGTGTTTTATGCCTGTGTTAAGGCTCTGTTTTTTCTCCATTACTTAAGTTTCAGCTGTGGGAATGTTCACTATTGATCATCTCTTTTTCAGGAACAACTTTATTTTACTTATTTTAGTGCCAGTTTTAGCGACAGAGTCAGTTTAAGTATGCTACTTTTTGAAAAGTTGTTCCTGATCTCATAGGAACAGACAAGCCCATGCACGCTGTACAAGTGTTATTTCTCAAAAGGCTCTCCTGCACATTCATTTTAAACCTTGCTGTGTGCCCACTATATTAACCACTAGACACTTTTCTTTGATTTGCTGCACTCCTTACCGAAAGTCCCGTGTAATGGGGTGGGTGCTCGCAGTGACTGCGGATGACGCTGCAAATGTCAGCAAAATGTAGAAATGTCACCAGCACACCGGAATCCTTTTAGGATAGCAGAATGTTAATTTATTTGAAGTTCCTTGTCATATAAAAAAGCGCTTTCGGGGCCGCGCAGGGTCCCTTCATCAGGCTTAGCATTGATGAAGGGACCCTGCATGGCCCCGAAACGCTTGTTTATATGTTAGGGAACTTCAAATAAATGAACTTTCTGCCATCCTTAAAGGATTCTGGTGTGCTGGTGACATTTCTACATTTCCCTATATTAACCACTTCGCAACCATATAGTACGTCACTGGCAGCCGGCCCGTTTAAATACACTAGCCGCTGGGACTCTGTTTACATTTGTATAGCCGACGGCCGGCTTCACAATAGAAGCAATTGTGGCGACTCAGCTGTCACCAGATCGATTCTACAGGGTGGAAACTGCCCGCCCCCTGCCTGACACCCCCTCCGTGTTGCCCGGGTTCCGATGCCCCTCCTGCGGGCCCATGACCGGCATCTCGGGCATCGTCAGGAAGCTGGGGAGGAGAGCGGCAAACTTCTGTTCACCGATCTCCTCCCCGTTCTATGGGACTGGGAGCAATGCAGATTACATCATTTCCAGACCCATAGCGGTCATTGCTGGGCTCCTGAAGCCCAGCAATACGCTATTGAAGTGCGATCTGTACTTCAATAGCTGATTTAAAGTGTACCTACGTACAAAAACGATGATCGCGCTACACATGTTGGGCATAGCCGTGCATACCAGAGTGAGGGCAATAATTCTAGGTCCAATATTTATGCGTATCTCAAAACTGATGGACTGTAGGGTCTTTTAAAGCGTTGTCTATAGACTTTTTGGGGTACTGATTTCTGTTGCCGTGTCACAGACGTGCACATTTTTTAACCTGAGCATTTCGTGTATCTATTCACTCGTTGTAACCTTGTCTGTTATATTTTATAAACAAAATGGGTATTATATTGTTTTTTGTGGCACTAAATTTAACTTAAGTGCATTTTTCACAAAATATTTGGGTTTGATAACAAGTTGCGCTAATATTGTGCAACATTAAAATTTGCAACTGCCAGCATTGTATTCTACAGAGTCTTGGCTTTCAGAAAATATATAATGTTTGGGGGTTTGATATAATTTTCAGGCCTAAAATGTGGATTATAACATGGGTGCAAAAAAAAAAAAAAGGCCTTGGTCATGAAGGGGTTAAATAACAGTGCTCGTGCTGTAGGGGCGTGTAGGACCTATGGAGACCCAGGTTACTGCATTGTGTGTGAAAGCAATGGCCTGACTCCATAGTTCTCCAGCCAATGGTATTTTAACCCTTGCTACAGCACAAAATATGTAAAAAAATAAAAATAAAAACAAGCAAAACCACAAGTATGTATATTTTTCATTCAAATCATTTTAATTATAGTAAAGAGTATGTTTTGGTAAACTTCAAGCTGCATATGAATTTAAATATTTGCTTCTTCAGGATGTTGATGACCCTCTCATTGATATGAAGACCCCAGTACTTTTTGTGATTGGTCAAAATTCGCTTCAGTGTCATCCGGAGACCATGGAAGATTTTCGAGAGAAGCTTAGAGCTGATAACAGCCTTGTTATCGTTGGAGGAGCTGATGACAATCTACGGTAAGAATCAAGATGGCTGTCTATTTTATTTTTTTATTAGTATAATAATGACAAAGCACACATTCACATCTGTCCCTGCACTCAAGGAGCTTACAATCCCAGGGTCACTGTCTCACATGCATACATACAGGGCCATAAGAAAACAGTGAAGAAGCCAGAATAGTGATCCAATTAGCCTTCCAGCATGTCTTTGGAGTAAGCCCGAGTACCCGTTGGAAACTCACGCAAGCACAGGGAGGACATGCAGACTTCTTGTAGATAGTGACCTGGCTGAGAGCCGAACCAGGGACCCCCAGTGCTACCAGGCAGAAGCTCTAACCACTATGCCACTGTGCTGTCCGCATGCTTGCCATGCAATAATTTTTAGAGATAGTACCGTTTTCCATGTAATGGAAAAAATGGCAGACATGGACTTTTACTATTGTTTCTGTTACTATTCTTGCTCAACATCTGTGCAAGACAATAGTGACTTCCATGCAACAAACTATACTGAAAAGTTTTATAATGTATTTTCTTCATTCTTGAATTAAAGCTTCAAGAATAATTGTGTGTGATTTAAAGTTAAGTGACCTAAATCAAAAATGTTAGTGTTTGTACCTTTATAACTCATTGATGGATGCTCAGCAACTTGCAGTTCCATAATTATGATTTCTGTAGACTAAACCGTTCTTGATACCATTGGCTGGTAGCACAGATTAAGATCTTGTGGTACTTGGTACCCCTTAGCCATGTCCCTCTCCTGAGGGACCCCTTGACTTTCTGGGTCTGTGGACATCAGTTTTGTTGCCCTCTTTCCCAATGAGGACCTGATTTTGCAGGGTCCTTCTGAGGCTTCTGTGCCTTCCCAGACCAATAGATCATATGTCAATCCTAGTACCTTTTTGTGACATTCCTATTGCTGAACGTTCAAGCAACCTCACCTGATGAGACTCAGTTTTCTGGATTCTCATATCCTGAATCTTTCAGAGGATCCTAATACTTGGAAGCTTTGATTGGATCAGGCTTGAGTAGTTGGGGGTAGCTGTAGTGCACTATTGGGTGAGGTTATTCCGCTTAATTCCTCGCTTAAGAAGACCACTTCTGCTGGGGATTTGATCCTTTTCTCATCTGTCTAGGAAATGCTACCTCTGTCTAATTCTGGGATTGTGGGCTGCAGGGGGAAACCCCCTCACAATACAGTCTCCTATTTTCCTGTTGACTGTTATTTTTAGTTTCCCCTTCTATGACTGGGAGTCTTGACTTGAGGTGAATCTCTCAGTATCTTGGGGTGAATGAAGTGGTTTCTTCCTCCTGCCCCAGGAAGGGCACCCCTTGTTGGTGTGTTCCCACGGTGATGACATCCAATGGTCTGGAGCATTAGGTTGATACTCTGGGTCTCCCCTTGGTGGTAATCGTTTCCTGATTTTGCTAGGATTTTCCTCATCTGGCTCCGATTTGGGAGTTGGTCTTCTCATTACTTCTGTGTTCCAGATGGTTACCGAATTCGTGGGTCTTTCAGTGGCTGTTGCACACTCCTCAGTTGTACTTCTTTAGGGCTTTCTGGCTGTTTCTGAATTTCCTCAATGGACAAGAAAGAAAATAACATTTTTGTACTTGCGATAAAATCTTTTTCTTGAAGTTCATTGAGAAACACAATTCCTGGCCCTCTGTGTTTTCTGAATCTGTTTTTTTTTGGCTTTGCTTGCTCACAAAACAGGCATCCTGGATAGAGAAGGCGTTATATGGGGGCTGACATGTTTTTTTTTAACCAGTGTCCCGACCTACTGTTTTCTTTTTTTCCTCAGATATAGCAGGTGTACAGCATCAGTCCACATAATACTATTTTTAGGTCAATGTCAAATATTGCATACGAATATTTATATGTACCAGTTACAGCCAGCAGGTGGTGCTCAGTGCTTTTCTGCAGCATGCTAATTAATTCTGTTCTCAGGAGAGAGTGTGATTTAATCTCCAGCCCTTCACAACACACACACACACCTACCACTGAAGAAGTCATAGGGGTACATTTCCCCTCCCTCTGTTTGCTGTTAGGACCCAGTATAGATGATCAGCGTGAAAGAAGCATTAAACAAATGATGAAGTCTCTGCTGAACTTTCCTGGCATATTCTTTGGAAGCACACTGTATTAAATGTTGTAGAATAAAGATTTCATACCAGGGGTGTGATAGGGATGTATAAGATAAGTGTATACACTTGTAGACATTAAAGTGACACTAAACTCAGGAGCTTAATTGTGCATCACTCAGCTGTAGATCCTCAAATCATCTCTGGATCAGCCAAGCTCACCTCTGTGATGGGCCACAATCTCACATTTTGTTTACTAATTTGCAGTGAGATTGTTGCAGAGAGATTGACGTGAGAAATTCTTTTTACATATCCCCTCTCCTTATGCATGAACCCTAACCCTCTACAGGGGAGCCACGCATGAGAGGGGGATTGTAAGGATCCTCAATAACAAGAATCTCCCATAGGATCTTGTGATGCACTTTTGTGGAGGACTCAGTCCATGTGGGCAGTTTTTAGAAAGAGGATTCATCATCCCAAAAATTCAGCATGAAAAAAAATGTGTTTCTCACTTCAGTGCCTCTTCAACCGCACCAGGGATGAATAGGGACCTATAAAATCTTGGCAGAAAAGTTCTTGCAGTTTTATTATGTATGTATAGCCCTCTTCCTAAAGAAGCCGCTCACGCCGTGAAATGTGTAAAACTACATTCTCCAGAACCTATCACGCACATTGCTTGATGGATAATATCAAATGCTCTTGAAAGGATATGAAATGCTACATGGCATCCTCCTATAATAGGAACATGTGCATGGTGAGTTAAGAAACAAGAAAGTGGGGGCTATTATTATCTTCCTTTTTATGACCTTTTGAAGTCATGTACCACAATCGCATAATAATGGATTTTTTTATGTATTTGGAATAAAGGTTTCATACTATTTTAGATATGTATTGTCTAAGGTAGCTTAAAAATCCGCATTTTTTACTATAATCACGTGCTTGTATTTTGAAAAAAACAAGCCTCTCATTGTGCAAAAAATGATGTTGCTTTCACATTTTAATCTATTCCCCAGGATAAGCAAAATGAAGAAAAAAACAGAAAGCTTGACCCAAAGTATGGTAGACAGGTGCATTCAGGTAAGATAAACTTAGGTTCTATATAAGTGTATGTAGTGTTTGTATGTTTCTGATATGTTTAGCACCGCACAGCTTGCCTAAAATGCAGTTTGATAGTCTGTAAATCTTTGTAGTGGAGAATATTTCATGAGTGTCGGGACTAATTCACACCAAGTGCGGAGCAGGTGCAGAGCAGTTAGAGAACGGATCAAAACTGCGTCCAATGTATTTTGGTCTCTAGTTCACACCGCAGCGTTCAGTTCCAGAGCATGTGAAAAAACTGCAGCAAGCCCTTTTTTTCCTGCTCCGGAACACATGCAAACGCCCGGGAACACACTGAAAGTCCATTTTAGGCTAAAAAAAAATGATTATTATATTAATATTATTATATTTTTTTACAAAAGCGGTCCAAAACACAGCAAAAACGCATATAAAACATGGCAAAACGCACTGCATGTGCAGAAACTCATGCAGATCTGGTCTGCATTTGGTGTGAACAAGCCCTCAGTCATTTGTGTGTTTGAGTACTTCAACAATAATGCAGATCAGAACAAAGCGGTAACTGACACCTTGCTTTTGAAGCCATGTGAAATTAGAACCGCTAGCCTGAGGAGCCTATTCATATGATTACATGCTGTGTATTTGAAAAAAGAGATATGTAATAAAGTAGAGAAAGAGAAGTAGCCAGAAAGAGAAATAAAGTGGACCAAACTGGGTAGAGGAGAAGTTTTGGGTAACCAGTTTTGGAGGTGATTGGAGAGGCAAGAGTCAATAACAAGGCATCAGTGTGAGGTTTGAGACATTGCACATTACGAAGTTACTCAGGATGCATTGCAAGAATGTGTATTCAGGTGTCATCCTAAACTCTAACCAAGAGAACCATATTTTGGCATAGGTAGAAAGGTCATCTGCTTTATCTCCCAGAATACACTGACCTCTGTTGACACAACCAAGCCAGTCAGTTTTTAGGACATACTGATGATTCCAAGATTTTGCAATTAAATACTTAGGGGTATTGACAAGTTAAAAGTATAGGAACACCTATGCTTCCAACTTCATAACAGTAGTAAGTACTAGGCAGAAAGTCAAATTCCATCAAGAGTAGAATGAAAACCCAGGTACTGTAGAAGTAGGCGGATCCAGAAGAGAAGGGAGCTTGAGGCACTTCACCAGCAGAGCAGTCTTTACATAATTTATGTAGTTTGTAGTACTATCTGGTCACACTTTTTAGCCCGATACCTGCATCCTGGTCACAGTGGACCTCTTCATGCCTTTTACCATTGTGCTTGAGTAAAAAAAAATTCTCATTGTCAATGTGCAAAGTGGTGCAATAGGCTTGTATTTCTGATGCTTAAAAAAGGGTTGTGCTAAATTTTTTCTTTCTTCTGAACAGTACAATTAGAATCGGGTCCAAGTTCCATGGCTTATAGCTGCTTGTTTTGGGAGGGAGCTCTGAAAAAATTGATAAAGGAAACTGTAATTCAGTAAATTAAGGAATACTTTGGGACTAAGCCTAAAGCTTAAATACTGGGGCTTTGCTTAAAGCAGTCTTATGTTGACTACTAATCAAAGAATCATTTTACCCCAAATCATTATTTGAATAACAGAGGTACCTGCACGAACCTTCCAATGTCTTTTAGAGCACCCTTGCACCTCAAAACAACACTGGAAGATCGTGTAGTCACCCAGAGTGCCCCTTTTTGACCATGAAGTTTGATCCACGTTAACGAATATAGCACTTTTTTCCATTTCCAGTTTACTATACGTAATTGCATATGTGTTCTAGCCGTTTATGTGATTAGCTTATTGTTAATTACAAATTTGTTCAAATTGGCTTTCATAAAAAAATATTTGATCTACATGATCCTTTTAAACATGCTTCAGGAATGTTGTTGAGCTGTTCTATTAACTTCCCAGTTTTTTTATGTTTTGACGTCTAAAATACTACACTCTTATAGCACAGTTAAATAACTGAAGGGTTAGACCCCAATATCGGGTTCAACTTTAGCATAGTGGCAGCAAAATCTGATATCATGGATGTTCACACAATGGGATAAATGCTTGCCAATGGACCTCTCCGCATAATTATAAAAGCAGTGCTAAGTACAGTTCTTGTTTATCTTGGAAATCCCCTTCAACACCGGAGAGGATCTGAGCTCTTCAGTGATAATGATCAGTGACTAAGTTCTTGCAATTCACTGTTTAACTGGAGGGGCAGAAGGTCTCTTTGGAGGAAGAGACATCCTGTACCAGAGACAATGTATTAATACTTGTCATCTATCCAGCTTAAACATAATTACTGCCAGTGAAAATTCTAAGATGGGTTTCTTTAATCTGTGTTGTCATTTATTTGAAAATATAAATTGCTTTTAGGCTACATTTAGGCCTTTTATCGGGAATTTCATATTAATTTGCATGGAAACCCAAAAGCCAATACTATAAGTTATTTCTTGAAATAGAGCCCATTTCCCCTTCACTGTTTTGGCAGCATGTTTGCAAAAAATCCACCGCACACGAAAAACTAATAGTACAAAATGTATCTACACATTTTTGTGGGTGGCATTTTAGCTGCTTGTGTTTGGAGACACCACTTTTTTGTTTCAGTGGTGTTTTTTGAAAAATAGATATATCACCTATTTTTATTGCAGGGTTCTGGACACACGGTAAGGAGCTGCCCTTTAAAACCTATGCAAAAATTCATAAAACACGATGGAGAAATCAGTCCTTAGTGGCGTTTTTTATATATATGCTAATTTACTGCAATAATGTAACTGGATATACGCAAACAGAAGGTGATCAATATAGCAGGTGCTCTTGTCCTTTCAAGGTGTAAACACATTGGCTGGTTTTCAATCAATGTTGAAAGAACTTCATGTATGTTTCAATGTATAATTCCAGTCATTCTTCTTTCTGCAGGATGAGATTGCTGACTTTCTCACAATGGTCTTAAATCGAGCTGAGGGTCATTCTGGTTCTGATCCTCGTGATCTTGATGCTGAAAAGAAGAAGAAGTCAAGAGATTTCCTGAGGAGAGACCTGCCTTTAGATTTGCCAGAGCGGAGCAACAGACCAGCTTCACCTGGTGCTCGCTTCCCTGCCTCTCCTTCTGGCTCTGAGGTGAGGATATAATTTGTTAACACGGTCATCTGGACATAAAAATATGAGCCCTAAAATTCGCTCACGCTGGTATAAAACCCCGGCCTTATTCCACCACTTATACCCGGACGTCCCAGACCAATGCTGGCGTTGTGGCAGAGAAGGGGGCTCATTTCTACATATTTGGTGGTCATGCCCTTTGATCTCACCGTTCTGGACAGAGGTCCATGCCCTGATCACCACCATAACTGGTGTTACGCTGGAATTCTCCCCGGCTTGCCTACTACTGTATCATTTCGACGACACAACTCATGTTTCTAGAAAATCCCTCCCAATTCACTTGCTGAATGCTGCAAAAATGGTGGTTCCTAGACACTGGAAGTCGCCATCTCCACCAACAATTAGGGAGTGGCTCTCCCGAATAGATACGGTATCAACCATGGAGGAACTTATTCACTCCAACAGAGAAGACATGTCCAGATACCTCAAAACCTGGACGATGTGGCATCTATTCAGAGGTTCAGAGGCGTGTGCAACGTTGAAGCGGTAACTCCATTCCTTCTCGTTCCTCACTATTTTTTATTACTACACCTCTTTTCTTCTTTTCATCTTGGAGGGTTGGGCGGGACCCTCTTCCCCTCTTGCCTTCTCATCCCCCGCCCCCTCTCTTTTCCACTCTCTTCTCCCTCCATAGTCCTCTACCTACCCCCTCCCTTCCCCTTCCCACGTTGGCCCTCCTGGCCTTCCTTCCCTTCAGGCAATGATATCGCCCCATACGCAACTGGCATCCCCGATATCCGCGCTAGATCAGAATTTCTACAAAAGCCCTTGGAAGAGCCCCCTCCTGATCTAAACCTCTCCCATGGTTTAGGGTTATGTTAACCTTGCAACACTAATGAGACCAGCTGGTCCCGTTATACACACACTTCAGGTATACATTATTAGTTATTTTTCATCTTGCTACGTGAATTGATATGAAACCCATGCAATGGAATACGGTCTTCCATGATCGCTCTCATTCCACCTTCGTTACTGTGACCCTTTTGGTCTATTGGTTTATTGCATTGTAACTCAGTTTTGGATATCACGTGGCTGTTTATGTCTACCAGTTCAATGTCTATATACTTGTCATTGTCAAAGTTTCAAAACAATAAAAACTTTACTGATTAAAAAAAAAAAATATGAGCCCTAGTCATATGGCAATGGAAGAACACAGCTCAATAGAGTTGGAATTACTGTATGTGCGCGCTAGTTACAGTGTGAAAATTGTCACTCTCGATTCTGGAGGCATGACTCTGTATACCTGTATATGAGATGTCATCTTCCTGTAGCCCCCCGCATGTTAGTGATTGTGTGGCGCATGCTTATAGCTTCCATATCTGTAAAACAATATTTTTGTTCTCTCTTATTTTTCATTAATTTTCTTATTGCTGATATATTTAGCAGATTAATTATTTTAGCACACTTGTTCAAGTGTAGACCCTTCTTGTGCTCTTACAGTGTGTGTATTCATTTGTATGTGATCTGTCTGTGTGTTCTGCATTGGAAAAAAACAGAAAGAGTTGGTGCCTGTTACCTGAGGGTACAAGGGCCCTTTTATACTTCTGCATATGCAGTAACGTGTCTTTCTAATTTGATTTATGCGCATTTTATATGGGCTTTTATTTGTACATTTTACAAATGTGTTATGAGCAACATTCAGAATAGGGATTTTCCATGGTGCAGATGCAGTAAAATATGTATACATGTTCATTTTTGTGCGTTTGTGGTTCATTTGAATATTTGGCACAAAATTGAAACATGCCTATAATTTTAAAAAAGTACTCACATGCAGGGTATTGTTACCCAAATGCTAATAAATGGTATTTTTAGTTAACATACAGTTCCATACAGTAAAATGGAATGGAGTGTGAATGGGCCCTAACCCCCGTCATGTGCAGGAAGCCTCCAGTATTGGTGAAAGTAAATGCAAGGCGTTCCTGTGCAAAGAAGTGTAGCATGCAATACTAAGGTTGACCATACATTAATTGAATTAATCAAGAATCAGCCGAAATTCTCACAGTGGGTGCCGCTGTCAGCACCCTTACGGCCGTCATCCCTTGATCAGATGATCGAAGGAGTTGGTTGGAAAATTTTTGAGCGAACAGAGCTAGCCGCCAATGAGCCGGCTCTGTTTGGGCATTCTGGCAGCGGCTGCCGGCCCGCAGGTTGAACAAAGAAAATGATTACAGAGATGGCCAGCTTAACCAGTTGACATCCGCGGTGTTAAACCCCCTTCCCATCCAGGCCATTTTTCAGTATTCAGCGCTGCGGTACTTTGACTGACATTTATTCCGTCATGCAACGCTGTACTGAAATGAATTAGAGAGGGAGATGCAAAATGCTCACGGAGAAAAGGCTGATTTACTAAAGTAGTTTAGAATTCCCACACGATAAATGATGTGAATTCACTTAGTTATCCAGTCATGTGCAAACAGTGCAAAGACAACCATGGCTCAAATTTAATTAGCTTAGGAAGGGGGGGGGGGGGGTGGGGTGCTTTTAGCCTATTTCTTTCAACCAGGCGGATCTGGTAGACTCACAGACAAGTCAAAGTATGTAAGGTTCCAATATGGCTATTACCATGTACCTAGCTGTCTAGAAGCAGCCTTGTTTGTAAACCATTGTCACATATGAATATCCATTATTAAGGCTCTGTTCACACCTAGACGTATCGAATATGCGCATGTGACGCTAAAAAAAACGCGCGATGTACGCGTGTTTCCGAGAGGTTAGCAGTATTTAAGGATCAAGGTGCCCTATATTTGCATATCTGCTTTTACTTTAATTATAATTAGTCTCTGTTCTAAATTAACAAAAATAATATAGCTCTAGTATCCCTTTATGTGTTCATCTACTAAATTATAGTAAATTACAAAATAGTTTTACTTTGAGCAGTTTTATGTATTATTGTATAATGTTTATGAAAGGGACATTTTCCTTGTTTTTTGATTTACAATGCTTTGTTGTTGATAACATCAGTATTTATTTTTTATTTTAAATTTAAGGATATGTCCAGCAGTCCTACATCCAGTCCCAAGACTAAGTTAACTGCTATTTCCACACCCCATAAACCAGGGCAAACAACTGTGCCACTGAAAACCACAATACCAAGATCAGGGGCCACTGTGAATCCAAAAACTCAAGGTATGAATTTTGAGTACACACTAAGGCCTTGTTCACACCAAGCGCGGAGCAGGTGCAGAGCAGTTGCAGACCGGATCAAAACTGCGTACAATATATTCCAATGGTATTTTTTGCTCCAGTTCACATCGCAGCGTGCAGTTACAGAGCAGGTGAAAAAACTGCAGCAGGCCCTATTTTACCTGCTCTGGATCTGCTCCGGATCTAAAAACGCACGCAAATGCCTGGAACGCACTGAAAGCTCATGTTAAACTAAAAAAAACGACCCGGAGCGTGGCAAAAACGCGGCACAACCCCCACTGCGCTGCGTGTGCAGAATCCTGAGCGGATCCGCTCTGCATTTGGTGTGAACAAGGCCTAAAGGGTTTTACACCGGGTGTATTTTTCAATAAACGTTTCAGTCTCCAATAAATCTGCAACATTAATATCATGCTGTTTACATTTGTAAAGTATCATGTGCCTGAATTTCAGTAATTATTTGCTGGGTGGATGCTCTATAGGAAATCCATGTTTCTCTCCCGTTCATTGAAGGACACAGGGAACAGATCGGAGATCATGTACTGAACTCTGTTTGGCAGAGAGATTCCATTTGAGAATGATCTGTTTTAAGATGACATTGGAAATTACATGTTTTAATTTTTCTCCTTCCTTCATGTATTGTGCATTATGTCTTACAGCCCAGTTTGCAGCTTTCCTGAAACAAAACATGCTGGTGAGGAAGTCTCTCCCTGCAGGTTCTCCCTCTTGTGTATTTGGTGAGTCTTCTTATTTGGATACTGGCCATGTGTGAAAAGAATCTCTGCAGTAGACACATCTCCATTATGCACAGAATAGTTTACACAGGGGATTGTGTAATCAAGGGGGAAACAATGGGGGACATTTATTCTGTAACACAACAAGGCAATGCTAAACAGGAGCAATACAGCAAGACAGATTATGATACAAGTTTATTGTGCGTAAAAAAAAACAACTCAGATTTTTGGAAATATGTCTCAATTGGCCAACCACAATTGCAGGAGCTGGGGTTGCAAATACACAAAAATGTTGCATAGAGCTTGCTAACTGATTTGATTATTTGTCTCATCGTGTTGCTTTTTTGCCTAGTAAGGGCTTGTTCACACCGGAGGCGTGTGCGTTCCAGAGCGGTAGCTGCTGGAACGCACCGCGATCGCTAAGAAACTTCTACCCGTGTTTTTTGGCGGGAGGGGGCGTGGCGGTGCGATCGGACGCGTGACAAAACTTTGCCAGCGTTGCATTCCACTGCAAACGCAAAAAATAGAGCAAGCCCTATTTTTTGCGTTTGCTGTGGAACGGAACACTGGCAAAGTCTTGCCATGCGTTCGATCGCACTGCGGGTGGGGGTGTGTGGAAGCGGTGCCATTGAATTCAATGCACCACCACGCCCCCTCCCGCCCCAAAACACGTGGAAAAGTTTCTTAACGATCGCGGTCCGTTCCAGCAGCTACCGCTCTGGAACGCACACGCTTTCTGTGTGAACAAGGCCTAAATATTCTGCAATTACAAGGCCTAAATATGCCCCAAAGCCTTCCCCTTTGCTTAGTTTAGAAAGTCACCCAAGCTGTATGCCACGCCCCCTCCCACCCCAAAATACGGGGAGAAGTTTCTTAGCGATCGTGGTGCGTTCCAGCAGCTACCGCTCTGGAACGCACATGCTTTCGGTGTGAACAAGGCCTAAATATGCCCTAAAGCCTTTCCCTTTGCTCAGTTTAGAAAGTCACCCAAGCTGCATGCAAATACAAAAACTCTTTGAAAATCAGCCACATCACGTCCAAAACCTCTATAGATTCCTCCCTAGTGGAGGCTATCAATAAAACTTCAAAGCGATAGTATAGGCTGCCATTAAAGCTGATCAAATCTGTCATATTGCTTCAAAGAAGGTGGCTCCAAATATGCTTGCAAACCCAAATATTTTGAAAAAGGACATCATTTTTGATGAATTCAGTAAGACTGATAAAAACACAGAGATCGTTTATACCAATTTATACTTTCATAACAAATAGTTCATGTTATAAAATAGGGATATACCAATAGTAGTATTGGTGCCGATGCCGAGTATTTGGGCGAGTACGAGTACTCGTCCAAATGCTCCAATGCCTAGCCCGATACTTCTGGTATCAAGAAGCCAGGTAGTGAGTCATTACACGCTCCCTGGTCCCTTGTCACTTGTAATGACTCGCTGCCCAGCTTCCTGATTGGTCAGGAAGCCGGGCGACGCCTAATGACGCGACGCACGGCTTTCTGATTGGCCGAGAAGCCAGCTTCATGCTCCCTCGGCGCCTCATGACAAGGGAGCATGGAGCCGGCTTCCTGGCCAATCATGTAGCCGGGCGCCGTGTCATTACACGGCGCCCAGCTTCCTGTTTGGCCAGAAAGCCGGCTCCATGCTTTCCCGTCCCCGTGACGAGAAGCATGGGGACGTCTTCCCTGCTAACCAGTAAGCCGGGTGGCAAGTTTTCACACGCCGCCCGGCTTCCAGGCTAATCAGGTGGCCAGTCATTACACGCCGCCTGGCTGCCTTAATGGGACTTCCGGGATCGGTATTCGGTATCGACGAGTACCGGAAAAAGGAAAAAAATATCGATACTCGTACTTTATACCTAAATACTGGTATTGGTGCATCCTTACTATAAA